CCTGCCAATGCAGGGGACACGGGTTTGAGCCCTGGTCCGGGAAGATCCCACATACCGTGGAGCGTCTGGGCCTGCGCGCCACAACTACTGAGCCTGCGCTCTAGAGCCCGCGAGCCACAACTACTGAGCCTGAGTGCCACAACTACTGAAGCCCCTGCACTACAACTACTGAGCCTGCGCTCTAGAGCCTGCGAGCCACAACTGCTGAGGCCCTCGCACCTGGAGCCTGTGTTCCTCAACAGGAGAAGCCGCCGCAATGGGAAGGCCCCGCACCGCGACGAAGAGTGGCCCCGGCTCACCGGAACTAGAGGAAGCCCGCGCGCAGCAGCAAAGACCCGACGCAGCCAAAATAAATAAATAAAAAAGTAATAAAGACACTTAAAGAAAAAAAAGAAGAGGGGCTTCCTGCCTGACGCTGGGCTGGGCATGCTTTCGTCATCCTAGCCAGGATGCAGACCTGCTGGACTGGCCTGGCAGGGTGGCAGTGCCAGCCGCTGGGCCGCGACACACCTGCCCTGAGTCCCTTTGGACTCAGTTTGCGGATGAGTGTGGTAAAACCCAGCGTCTCAGGTCATAGGATCACTCAACAGGTGTAGAGGTGTGCCAGGAGCTGCCACGAGGAGGGGGCACCTGTGTGAGGGTCAGGGAGGTCCCCAGTGACCAGGGGTTGCTTAGCCGTGGCGGGGGGCAGGTATTTGCTTCTGCTGCCTGGGTTTGCTCGGCAGGTCCTTAGGGGAGGGAGACTGAGGCTAACCCCAGCCGTGCCAGCCTCCTGTGGGCAGCACTTGCCTGGTCTGCGAGAGGCTGCACAGGGGACAGACTGCGACGGTGGTCGTGAGCTCTAACTGTAATGACACACTTAAGCCAGAGCCCCAGCCACCTGCTCCTTGAGGGTGTTCTGCAAAAGACTGCTGGGGCCCGTATGGGGCGGTGGGTGCGTGTCCACCCCCCGGGCCTCCCTTGGTCCCTGCTTGTTCCAGTCTTGGGGGGAGGGTGGTGACGTCAGTCAGCTGGAGCCCAGGCTCCACCTAAGCTGCCGCAGCCCTTATCCTGACAGGGAAACTGAGGCCCAGGTTTGCCCACTGTGGACCTCTCCGGGTTTCCAGGCTGCGGCCTCTGCGACCCCAGGGTCCCAAGTGCAGCCGCTGCCCCTTTGCCGTGAAGCGCTCTCCTTCCAAGACCACGGCAGCCCCACCACTGCCCCTGCCTCAGATCTGGCCAGGGCACTCTGGAGTGACTCCCAGGCCCCGGGCGCCCTACCTGCCCTACCCTGGGGCTGTCTGCCCAGGGCCCAGCGCCCGAGGGCGGTGCCCAAGGCGAGGCCCTGCCCCCACCCTCCCTGCCTCACAGCTCCATTGTGAGGTTAGCACATTCCGATGAGTTCTGTCCAGAGGTGTGGACATGGCCCCCTGTCCCCAGCCTGACTCCTGCCTGGTCGGCAGCCCCCTCGGCCTGATATGTTTGTCCCTTTTGCTCATCATCCCTGCTGCAGGTGCCTCCTCCTGTTCCCCAACCCTGTCCCCAGCCAGGGCCCCTCCCTAGTCCAGGCAGGCCAGGCACACCCGTGTCCTTCTGGTGGCTGCCGGGGGTGGGAGGGCGGGCTTGGGGGTTACCCACTGGGAGGCGACAACAGCCCCTTGGCCCTGTCTCTGCAGCTGGAACCTACTGTGAGTGCAGCTTTGGCCTCAGCCGCGAGGCCCTCATTGCTCTGCTGGTGCTGCTGGCGGGTGTCAGTGCCAGCTGCCTCTGCGCTCTCATCATCGTGGCGGTTGGCGTCATTCGAGCCAAGGGGTGCGTGAGCCCCAGGGCCAGGGCAGGCGTGTGAGGGCTGTGAGGCCAGGCCGTCCCCCTGGGCCCTTGGTCTCGATGGGCGAGGTCACCAGGGACTTGGGAGTGGAGTCTCCCAGAATGGGATGGGGAGAGGTGTGGGGAGCACCGCTGGGCTCCTGGAGGCCAACCCCACTGTTCCCAGACTCACGCCTTACCTTTTTTCCCCCCTGCTCCTCAGTGAAACATGCCCCGGACACATGGACAGCAGGTGAGTGACCCCGGGGGAGGACCCCCAGGGTGAGCCGTGCCCCTGCTTCCTGACCCCCCACCCCCGGGAGGTGTGGTTCACAGACACGGCAGGAGCCCCGGGTGGTTGAGGCCTCATGAGCCCATGCTGATGGCCGCCTGCAGCTAGCCTGACCTGGACCACGCTGTGCAGGTTGGTGGGGCACTGCGGGGCTCAGGAAGATCACATGAACCTGCATGCTGTGCACATGGGGTCGCACCTCATGGCCCCTGAAATGGAGGTCTCCATGATGCCGCCCCTGGAAGATCACGGCCTCACGACCATCACCGTGGACTCGACCCTAGAGGAGCTGCCCCCACAACCCCGGCCGCCTCAGTAGGGCTTTGGGCAGCTGGGAGAAGGGGAATTAAACAGTAGTTAGCGGGTCTGCGTTGTCCTCCCTGCTGGCCCCCTCGAGCCCTTCTGCAGATGCATATTGGGGTGGGGGAGGGGTCTGCGTCGCCTCCTGTCTCTTCAGTGAGGTGCCCAGTGCCCATGCTGGGCTCCCGCAGTCCACCTTGCAGGGCAGGGAGCACACCCCTGGGGTTTCCACTTCCTGCCGTCGTGGCGTCAGCCCAGCTCCTCCTTGCATCTTCCTGCCGCTTTGTCCCATGAAACAGACAGCCCCCCCCCGCCCCCCCGTGAGTCCCTGCCCATACCACCCCCACCCCCACCCCAGGAAAATGCCGGGACAGGACCTGCAACTCTGGTGAGTCCAGAGGGAGCAGCATGTGGCAGGAGGACTTGGGCTGGTGCCCCTGCTCCACCACACTGGGTGGGGCAGATGTGATGGCCTCGCCTTTCTCAGGCGTGCAGCCCTCCTTCTACCTCACTGCCTGTCCCCTGGGTTCAGGCCCCCATCCTGTGCTTGTGCCCCATGCGGATGGGAGCATCCGTGGGGGGTGGGGGGGCTACTGGACATGCGCACTAGGATCACCCTGCTGAGAGGAGGCGGTGGAGACTCGGGGCAGGAGCGTGGCGCACCGGGTCCTGTTCCGTGTGTCGCAGCCATGAGTTCAGTGGCGGTGACGCTGCGGGGTAGACGGTGCGGTCCAGTTGCCCAGGCCTCAGCAGGGTGCGGGGCGGTGGACCACGCAGGTGAGGAGGGGGTGGCGTCTTGTCAGTGCTGCTGCTGGCGCGGAGCCAAGAGGAGCTCAGAGCTTCAGGACAGGTGGCTGGCAGTGCCGGGCGCTGGCTACGTGCCCAGCCTCCGCCCTAGGCGCGGGACCAGCCGTGGGACGGACGGGCTCCCGGGACGCCTGGGCAGCTGGCCTCCTACCGTTGCCCCCATGCGGAGCCCCTCCTTTCTCTCGCGACGGCCGCCGCCGCTGTTCCTACTGCTGCTGTCGCCGTGGCCAGTCTGGATCCAGGCGCCCCCCGCAGCCGCCCCCGCGGCAACCCCGGGCGCTCCGGACTGCCCCGAGGCGTGCGCGTGCGCGCCAGAGGGCCACGCCAACTGCTCCGGGCGCGCGCTGCCCGCCGTGCCAGGGGGCCTGAGCCAGCGCGTGCGCGCGCTGCTGCTGGACCATAACCGCGTGCGCGCGCTGCCGCCCGGCGCCTTCGTGGGCGCTGGCGCGCTGCTACACCTGGACCTGCGCGAGAACGGACTGCGCTGGGTGCACGCGCGAGCCTTCTGGGGCTTGGGCGCGCTGAAGCAGCTCGACCTCAGCGCCAACCAGCTGGAGGCGCTGGTGCCCGGCACCTTCGCTCCACTGCGCGCGCTTTGCGTCCTCTCGCTGGCCGGGAACCGGCTGGCGCGTCTAGAGCCCGCGGCGCTGGGCGCGCTCCCGCTGCTGAGCACGCTCAGCCTGCAGGACAACGAGCTGCCTGCCCTCGCGCCCGCGCTCCTGGCGGGCCTGCCCGCTCTCAACACGCTGCGACTGCGCGGCAACCCCTGGGCCTGCGGCTGCGCGCTGCGCCCACTCTGCACCTGGCTACGCAGGCACCCGCTGCCCGCGCCAGGTGAGCCCTCGGGGGCACGGGCGCGGGCGCGGGCGCGGGCGGGGCGGGGCGGGCCACTGCCGCCGCCGTCGCCTGACGCCGCTCCCGTGTTCCGCAGAGGCCGAGACGCTGATCTGCGTGTCGCCGGGACGCCTGACGCTCAGCCCCTTGACCGCCTTCCCCGACGCCGCCTTCAACCACTGCGCGCGGCCCCTTGCCGCGCGGGAACTGGCCGTGGTCTACGCGCTCGGGCCCGTCTCCTTCCTCGCTAGCCTGGCCGCCTGCCTGGCGCTGGGCTCCATTCTTACCGCCTGCCGCGCGCGCCGCCGCCGCGCCGCCGCCCGCCGCCCGCCGAGGAGTATGCCGGATCCCGGTGCCGGCATGGCCTCGCCTGCAGCAGTCGCCGCCGCCCAAGCCTGAGCGGGCCGCGGCCGCCCTCGAACCTTCCCCCTATCCCCTGCCCTCCTTCGCACTCCCTGCAGGCGTCAACAAGCGACACAGATAGAAGTTTTCTTGACATTCCTTTCGGCATCACCACTGCACACACCGGGTGGGGGGGGGCGGGGGCGTGGAGGGCGGTGCACGCCGGGCCCCTGGGGCGGAGGGGCAGCGCGCGGCGGCGCTCGGACCGCAACGGGGGAAGGCACACGCCTGGACGCGGGAAGGGCTGGGCCTGTACAAGGTGGCGCGCGGGGCTGAAGACAGTCCCGAGCCGGCGTCCGGGGAAGCGCGTCCTGGGCTGCGGGCCAGAGGAGGCGAAGAGAAGGCTCAGCCCTCACGGAGTCCGGAGAAGGGGGAGGCAGTGGGGAGCCCGAGCGCGCCCCTGGGAGGCGGCTGCCAGCTGGGGGGTCAGGGTCTGCAGTCCGGGAAGGGCAGGGCCAGCTCAGAGGATGGGGTCAAGCGGAGAAGGGGTGTGGGCACGAAGGGAGAGGTGGGGACAAGGCTGTGAGGTGCCGGCGCTGCGGGAGCGGGGGACCCAGCCAGCCGGGGCCAAGGGCCCCCATGGTGGCTCTGGTGGTGGCTGGGGAAGGATGGGGCTTCAGTCTCTGCTCCAAGCCCCTCTGCCCGGGGCCAAGTCAGCCCCTCTCCCCACTGCTCAGAGACCCCAGGGCCCTGCCTCTGCCGGAGCGCCCTGCGGCCCTGCCCAGCCAGCTCAGCTCTGACCCGTCCTCAGCAGCTCTGGCCCGAGCCTCAGTCCAGCAGGGGCTGCCCGCCAGGCAGCAGGGCAGACGGATGGACGGGAGGCCCAGGGTGGGCAGTCTCTGGCAGGTGGGCTTCCCTCAGGCCTTCCCGAGCAGCAGGGCTAACTGGGCAGGTGGGCGCCTCCGGGGGCCTCACACCACGGTGCTGACCGAGGGATCTGAGAGGTTGAGCGGGCCCGTGATATCAGTGGGATGGTACTGCTGCAAAATAGAAATACACAGACAAGGCGCCCGTTAGCCCGACACTCAGGGGGCATGCGCGGGGCCGGGACGGGTGGACCGGCCAGCCGGCCGACCGGCAGGCAGGCGGGCGCGGCCTGGGGGAGGCTGGGGGGTGCTCCTCCCCCTGACCCCGTCGTGCTCCGGGACTCTGCGTGGGCCGGGCCGCTGTCCCGTCCGTCTGTCTGTCTGTCTGCGGGGGAGGGGGGCAGAGGAGGGCGGGCAGGGCGTCTCAGCTCTCCCTATGACGGGCACACATCTGCAGCTGGCCCTCCTCCCTCTCAATAGCGCGTCGCGGCAGCACTGTGTCTTTTTGGTTTTGCAAAGCGCCGCGTCCACCCCCGGTGCTCTATAAATAAGAACCAACAATCAATACCCGCTGGCCCCGCCGGCCGCCAGGGACCCCAGCCCTGAGCGCCCAGTGCCACCCTGGCCCAGACCAGCCACGGGACAGGGGCAGAGGATCTCAGCAGCCGGACTGACCCCACCCCTCCCGACAGAGCCCCCCACCCAGGCCTCCCTCCGAGCAGGCGCCCAGCCTGAAACGGTGGGAGCTAGGCTGCCCTCCCCCGCCCAGCCCCCAGCTTGCAGTGTCCCCAGTCACCCCTGCAGGGCAGGCCAGCCCCAGATGCCACGTGGCACCAGAGCTGGCCTGGAGGATGGCCCCTGGGGAGGCTCGGGCAAGGAGTCTGCTGGGAGCGTGTCCCTGGAAAGGCACCATGAGGGTCTCTGAGCTGCACCTGGTCCAGCTAAGGGGCCTGCATTTCTGCTCCAGGCCGGGATGGGAGGGTGGGACTCAGTGATGCCCTCAGAAAATGGCCCACTGCCTGCGTGACTCTGCGGGCCCCCAAAGTGCTGTCTGCTGGGTACCTTCTCGCCCCTCCCCCCGACTGCCCCACCCCTGCTCCTGTCGGATCCTCCTCTTCCTGCACCCCCTGCTGGCTCCCCTGGCTCAGGCTCCACCCAATTCCTGGGCCTGGACAGCCCCAGGCCTGTGCTCCCAGCCCCACAGACCCTCCCTGTCCCCCCACCCTGTCTGCTGAGCTCTGGGAAGTGGAGCGGCCAGGCCTCGCAGGCCCCTCGTGGGACACGCTGGTGGCTTCCCCTGGGACTCAGATGGCTCTGTGCTGAGCCCTGTCTGCGTCCTGTGTCTGCCCCTTTTCCCACGCACTGGGGGTGGCGGCTGCAAATCTTGCTTCCTTCCACCTTGGAGCAGAAGACTCTGGGTGATGCTGCACGCGAATCAGGGGCTTCCTGCGGACTGGAGGCCAGACCATCCCTGACTGCAGGGAGGCCGCTGGACTGAGGGCTGTGCTGGCTCTGGGCGGCCCCCTCCTCACCTGGGGATGCTCCTAGCAAGGCTGGGTCAGTCTGGGGGTGGCCTTTGGTTCGAGCGCGCACATCTGGGCCAGTGACTGGCTGCCCAAGGCAGAAAGGCAGGGAATTCTTGGCTCAGGTGGAAGGCCTGGCTCTGAAGGGGCGGTGGGTCAGGCGCTGAGGCACTGATCTCCGTAGAGGCCTCCCCTTCCTGAGCCTCTGTCTAGGAGCCCCAGTGCCCACGGCTTGGAGGCCACGGCTTTCAGGGCCACCTCCATCCGTTCTCAGATCCCTGGGTGCTGCCGGCACGCCTCCTGCAGGGCCCCTGCTCGGCCTGGGGTGGGAGCCGCCTCCTTTGGTCCCACCCATTCCCCACCTGACGTCCCCTGTGGCCAGGGGCCTGTACCAACTCCAGGCCCCAGCCGTCCACCCAGATGGAGCCAGGCCCGGCCCCCAGCCCCGGCCCACACAGAGACCACATGGAGGGAATGCAACAGGCATGGCTCTGGTGAGACACGTGAGACAGGTGTCTGGGTGGCAGGGCTGGCGGCCAGACAGATGGGCGGATGGGACATCACAGCCATCCCTCCATGGACGTCGCAGGGAGGGAGGGAGGGAGGGCAGTGGGCCTCTCTGGGAGAGGCTGGAGAAGCGGACGTAACAGAGAGGTGGTGCGGCCTCCTGACAGGTGAGGAGCCTGGGACAGGGTGGTCCGGGCTCCCGGGGCCCTGGGCACAGCCCCGACGCGGTGAGGCTGACTGGCTGACCAACAACATGACACGGCTTCAAGATGGCGCATGGCGTCACGGCATGGGTGGGGGGCAGACTAACGCAGAGACACACGGGGAAGAGGACCCGGTGAGGGCCAGCGGGAGAAAGGACCAAGGGAGAAAAAGATCTAGAGAGTCAGAGAGAGAAGACCTGGTGTTCTGGGCGAGTAGAGGTGAGGGCAGAAAGGCCACGGCAGTCAGAGGTGGGAGCGGGTGGGATGGTGAGGGAGGGGCCTGACGCACGGGACAGACACGGAGGGGCGAGATCAGAGTCGGAGACGTGGGACTGGGCGCTCTTCCCCTTACCGTGTCTTTGGAGGACCTACGTCTCTTGAAGCTGGAAGCCAGGGTGGAGGTGATAGCCCTAAGTGTGGCTTTCTTTTTAGGGTCAGGCTCTGCTCTACCACTCTTTCTATCCTAAAATGAATATGTATAAGTGATTAGACGGCTAAGGGTGGCGGCCACACCTGCCCTCGCCTGCTCCTTGGGGGCTGCTGCCCGGCCTGGCTGGCCACTCGGGCCCTCACTCCGGCCTGCCTCCCTGTGCTGGATGGACCGACCGATGGTCGGACACTCGCAGGCGGCCTCTGCTCCTGCCCGGCTCTCGGGCCTGACCTCGCTCATGCTGGGGCTGGGCTCAGGGGGGTCCCATCTGGCTCTCTTCCTGGGAGGTCCGCCTGGCTCCCTGGCTCCGAGGTGCCCCTGGTTTAGGGGCGTCCCGAGGAGGAGGAGCCCTCCGAGCACGGGAGGAGTTGCCCCACCGGCCACTCTGACGCCCGAGGAGGCGCACCAAGATTCAGGAAGGGGCTGAGGGGCCGAAGGCAGGTGGCGAGATGCGCTGGAGTGACAGAGAGACGGAGGCAGCTCCTGGGACCCTGGCCTCGGGTCTGATGGTCAGGATGGGCCCTGTGCCCGCCAGCGAGAGCAGCGGCCAGGTCCCAAGAGCAAGAGAGGGCAGATGAGAGGCGTGGGCTTCCAGCAACCCCGTCGCCCCGGCCCTCCCTCCCTGCAGCACCAGCTTCCTCCCAGGGCACAGGCTCCGGGGAGGTACCCAGAGAAAGAGAAGAGATGGGGCAGACTGGGGCTGGACTATGGGGCACGAGCCCGTGCCAGGTGGGCTGTGGCCACCCCACGTGCAGCCTGTCCTCTGCTGGCGGCAACTTCCCACAGACACAGCCTGGGGTGCCAGGCAGGAGCGGCCGGCCAGTTAAGACTGGAGTCATATGGAGCACAGGACACACCAGGGCAGCGGGGAAGGGGGTCCCCAGAGGGTGCCAAGGAGGGGCGCGGGGCGGCGAGGGCAGAGTGCGTCTTGGACTCACATGCTACACCCAGGTGGGTCCCTGTCTTACCCTGCCTCAGTTTGCCTTCCTATGGAATGGGCGCTGGTGGGCGACTCTGGAGACAGAGGGGCCAGGCGGACGCTTGAAGCCCGGCTTTGCAGAGGCGGCCACCTGCGGGTGGCCCCCAGCAGCGCGGCCTTGGCTGTGGCTCCCAGCTCCAGTCCTTGCCACAGGGGCTCCTGGGAGCCAGAGCCAGCGCTTCGGCCTGCGGGGATGGAGGAGGGCCGGGGCCAGGCCGAGCCGTGGGCACCAGGCCTCGGAGGGTGGCCTGCCCTACCTGCAGGTTCTTTCTCCACACATTCACTGCTGCAAAGGCCAGCTGCATCTGCTTCCGGCGAGCATCCTTGTGCCGCTTGTAGGCGATCTCGATGAAGATCAGGAAGATCCCGGCCACGATGCCCCCGGCCACCAGCATGAAGACACCTGCGGGCCAAGACCCAGCGCCTCAGCTGCGGGCGGGCCAGGCAGCCGGCCCCTGCGGAGTCCACCCGGTGTCAGCACTGGTGTCAGGGGGCGTGGGGGCCCACCTGCCATGTTCTCGAACGTGAGGGTAGCAGGGGCGTTGCTACGCGAATCACACTCCTGGTACCGCACCCACGTCTTGTCCAGGTCTTCCATGAAGCCGTTCTCGTGGGACCTGGGCGGGCGGGGCATGTGAGCCGAGGAGGAGGCTGGGCCCGCACGGGCGGGGCGGGGCGGGGCAGATGGGGTGCTTCTGGGGGCTACGGCTGGTGGGGGGAGGCGGTGTGCCTTGGGGGGGGCTCTTGGAGGGGGGCGGAGGGGGGCCGACTCACTTGAGGATGGACAGGGAGACGTTCTGCTTCCAAGGACTATCCTTGCGCATGCCGATGCCGAAGCCTGAGCGGAAGAACAGCTCGCCGGTGGTCACCAGGTCGCACTTCTGCGAGGCCTCGAACTCCAGCACGGCTGAGTCCCAGATGAAGGCATGCAGCTTGCTGCGGGCAGGGGCAGGGTCACAGGGGCCCACATATTCGGGCCGCCCTGGCGCCCCTGAAGTCCCGCCCGCCAGCCTGGAAAGGCCCTGTCTATCCCCTTCCCGTGGCTCGCATCCGGCCTGGACGCTCTGACTTTGACTGCAAAGATGGACGCCCCACCGGCCCCGCCCAGCGCCCCGCCCCGCCCCGCCCCCTCACTTGTCCCGCACGGCCTGGATGGCCTCGGCCGCGCTCTCGTAGTTGTGTTTCTCCATGTGCCGGTACATGGTGCTCAGCTCCACCTGCCGCCGGAAGTAGATGTCCACGGAGCTCTGCTTCACCGTCGCGTAGATGAACTTGTCCGAAGGATTCCTCAGCTGCAGGGTCAGAAGGTCGGAGGGCCCGGCTCGCCGCTGCTCCCCGGCCCCACCCCAGGCAGCCGCTGACCTCACGCCCCGCCCCCCCAGCCGGGCCAGGCCTCACCCGGGGATCGTTGATGCCGGTGATGCGCTCCTCGGGCCGGTCCAGCACCAGGAAGGCCGCCAGGTTGGCAGTGTAGGAGGCCACGATGATCATGGCGAAGCCGGCCCACACCATGCCCAGGATGCGCGCCGAGAAGCTTCTGGGGGCGCCTGCGGGCAGAGGACGGTCAGCTCCCGGCGTGGGGCGTGAGGGTTGCGGAGCAGCGTGGGGCCCCGGGCCGGGCGTGGCCTCACCTTCCCCGATGCCCGAGTTGAGCAGGACGCCCCAGGAGAACCACATGGCCGAGGACAGGGTCAGCGCGTCCTCCTCCTCCTCCTCGCTGTTCACTTTGAACCGGCCAAAGGGGCTGCGGGGGCGCAGAGGGCGGGCGGGAGAGGGCGGGAGAGGCAGCCCTGCCCCGCCCCCTCGCCCGCCCCGCCCCCTAGCCCGCCCCGCCCGCCCCGCAGGGGGAGGAGTCCGGCCCCCGGGCCGCGCTCACCTGAAGCGGTCCAGCAGGTACAGCATCACGGCCACCACATGCACTGACAGCCCCACCAGCAGCCAGAGCGTGCTCTGGAAGGGCTGCATGAACGAGTCCAGCGTGCTCCGGGGGATCTCCTGCGGGAGGCCGGGCCGTCAGCGCCGCCCAGGCCCTCCCAGGACCCCACCCCGCCCTGCTGGGCCCCTGCCCACCTTCTTGACCAGGATGGTCAGGCCCTGGTACTTGAAGGGCTTGGAGAACTCGATGTACTGGGCGCGCTCGTTGTTGATGGTCAGCGGCGCCACGATCATGTCTGCCTGCCCGCTGAGCAGCTCGCCCATCATCCCGTTCCACTCCTTCTTATTGCTGTTGTTCACCTGTGGGGAGACACAGCCGGTGGGGACACGGCCACCGCGGGCGGGCCTTGCTCCCCGGACCGGACAGGCTCTCCCCCGACCCATCTCGGGATCTCCCACTCCAGACCCCGCCTGGCTCGAAGGCCCCGCCCACCCGAGACCCTGACCCTAGCCGGACAGGGTCCACCTGGACTGGGTCGCGCGCCGGCTTCCAGAGACCCACGCGTACCCGCTCCTGCGTGCCGAACTTGCCGTCCGCCACTAGGTGCACCTCATAAGTGAAGTTCATGGTCCGCGCCAGTTTGATGAGTAGGTCGATGCAGAAGCCGTAGCAGCACTGAGGCACGGTGTGGCGTGCTGGGCGGAGGGGAGGGCGGCGAGTGAGGCGCTCGCAGGTGCGCCGTCCGCGCGCTCCGCGGCCCGCGCCCCAGCCCCGCACTCACGGCTGCCCGGCGACGTGCCGTTGGGCCCGGTGCACATCACCTTCTTCACGGGGTCCCCGTTCACCGTGGGCTCCTCCTTGCACGTGCCGTCGCTCAGCGTGGGTTTGACATACACGAAGGGCTCCTGGTGGATCGTCACGATCTGGAGCGGAGGCGGACACCCAGCCTGGACCGCCAGCCCTGGGCTGCCCCGGGGTGCTGTCCTCTTCCCAGCATGCAGATTCCCCCGGACCGCCCCCCGCCCCCCGCAAATGCCCCACACTGCCCCCTCCGGAGCCTCAGGAAGTTGGTCGGCCTGCTGCCTGCAGGAGGGGCCCCGGACTCCCCAGCCGTGCGCAGGCCACCTCAGCACTCAGAAGGTGCCCGGCCTCCTGAGACACCGCACCGGCTCTTGGCCGCTTTCCTTTGGGTCTTGGCTTGCACATCACTAAAGTCTGCCCTGGGCCCCTTCTCTGACTTCTCAGGGCTGAGAAACCACCTGTCCCAGCCCAGAGCCTGCCCCCGGCCCCCACCCCTGCCATGAGGACAGGGGCATGTGCACTCAGAGCCTGCACAGGTCCGGGGACCCGCAGGGATTGCCCTTGTCTGCTGTTCCGGCCTCTCCTGGCCTCAGCCTCCCCTGCAGCGGGTCTTTGTCTGATCATCTACCCTTCCTCCCGTCCTCTTCCCCGCTGATGCCGCCCTCTCTGCCAAGGCCTCGTCAATCCAGGGGCTCCTTGGGGCTCATGCTGGGGAGCTCTCTCCTCCCTGTCCTTCAGGGGCCTGGGGGTGCGGAGGACAGATACAGGCAAAGGGGGCTGAACCGAGCACGGCATGTGACGAGGGGTCCCAGGGGACGTGGGGTCGGTGTGAGAGGCCCCTTCTCCTCCAGGGCGGGCAGCCCCCGGCCTCAGCCTGGAGGGCAGGAGATTGGGAGCCCCTGAAGGAGCCTATTTGCCTTTAAAACTTTCCTCATCGTTTCCTATTGTGCGAGTAACATGCTTGTGCTTTTAAAAAATCAGTGAGGGAAGGGCTTCCCTGGTGGCGCAGTGCTTGAGAGTCCGCCTGCCGATGCAGGAGACGCGGGTTCGTGCCCCGTTTCGGGAAGATCCCACATGCCGCGGAGCGGCTGGGCCCGTGAGCCATGGCCACTGAGCCTGCGCGTCCGGAGCCTGTGCTCCGCAAATGGGAGAGGCCACAACAGTGAGAGGCCCGCATAACGCAAGAAAAAAAAAAAAAAAAAAAAAAAAAATCAGTGAGGGGACTTCCCTGGTGGGAAGTGGCTAAGAGTCCACACTCCCAATGCAGGGGGCCCGGGTTTGATCCCTGGTCAGGAAACTAGATCCCACATGCTGCAACTAAGAGTTCGCATGCCACAAATAAAGATCCCGCACACCACAACGAAGATCCTGCATGCTGCAACTAAAAAAAAAAAAAAAAAAAAAAAAAAAACCCACATGCTGCAACTAAAGATTCCGCGTGCTGCAACTAAAAGATCCCGCATGCTGCACTGAAGATCCCTCGTGCCGCAACTAAGACCCGGTGCAGCCAAATAAATAAATAAATATTTTTAAAAAAATCAGTGAGATGGGAGGGATAAATCGGGAGACTGGGATTGACATATACACACTACTCTATATAAAATAGATAACTAATAAGAACCTACTGCATAGCACAGGGAAATCTACTCAATAATCTGTAATGACCTGTATATGGGAATAGAATCTAAAAAAGAGTGGATATATGTATATGTATAACTGATTCACTTTGCTATACAGAAGAAACTAACACAACATTGTACATCAACTATCCTCCAATATAAATTAATTAAAAAATAAACAATTTAGTGTCAAAAAAATCAGTGAGACAGGGCTTCCCTGGTGGCACAGTGGTTGAGAGTCCGCCTGCCAATGCAGGGGACGCGGGTTTGTGGCCCGGTCCGGGAACCATGGCCGCTGAGCCTGCGCGTCCGGAGCCTGTGCTCCGCAACGGGAGAGGCCACAACAGTGAGAGGCCCGCGTACCGCAAAAAAAAAAAAAAAAAAAATCAGTGAGACAAAAAAAGTTGTAAAAAGCCATCTGGCTCTCGAAGCCTGCGTGGGACCATCTGGCTGACTGTTTTGTCTGTTTTACACTCAGACTTTTCAATACCAGGTGTCTTTCCTGAGCGTTGGCTTTGGGAAAGTCCACTCTGCCCCTTGAGAGGGGTGGTGACCTGTGGGCAGGTGCTGACAAAGGGATCCGGGTGAGAGGCCATGGGGGAGCTAGCTCAGAAAGCAGACAAGGTTGAGAGGCATTTGAGGACCTGGGGGTGGGGGTGGGGGACACTGAGAGAAGAACAGGGCTTGAGGGTCCTTTGCCTTTTGTGAGCTCAGGTACCAGCCCGGTGCTGGTGGGGGTCAGTGTGGGAGGGACGCTGGGGAGGGCACCCTGGGATGAGTCCAAAGGAGCATGGAAGAGTCAGGCCAAGGAAGAGAAGCTGTGAGGGATGAGGCCAACCGGGAAAGGGAGCTCCCAGAGGCCCAGGGAATCACGGAGGGGACGGCCGGCCACAGGGAATGCTGTAGGGAGACCGGGCTCAGAGGGCAGTGAGACCGAGTCACGGCAGGAGGCCAGGAAGGCTAAGCGGAGGGGGGTCGGCTAGGACCGCTTGGAGGTGTGATGAAGAGCACGGGGGCATCATCTCCAGGACTCAGGGCAGAGAGCACCGAGGCTGATGTACCCTGTCCCCGATCGGCTCACCCCCAGGGGAGTCCTGGCCCACATGACTTCCCCAGAGTTAAGTGGAGCTGGGTCAGAAGGGGTGCTGGGGAGAGCCCATGAGAAGGGGGGGGGCCGGCGGCTCCCGCTCCTCCCTCCACCCGCTCTCCCTGCTGCCTCTGCAGTGCCAGGTGTGTGCAACGGCAGCGGCCGCTGGCCCCGCCCCCACATCCTTCAGTCGCTTTCGTTGACCTCACTGTCCCTTCCTCTGCACCCGAGGGGCGGGATGGAGTATGCCGGGTGTGGAGGCTAGGGCAGGGTGGCGGGTCCCCCACCTTCAGCCTGGTGGACATCTGGTAACCTCGGGGCTTCTCTGTCTCTCCGCCTGGCCAGATGATTTTCCTGTCGTTGGGAATAACCTGGGGGTGGGAGTATGAGATGGAGGGTGGCCACGCAGGGGTCTTGGCCCCAGGACCCTAAGGCCCCAGCCCCCACCCCCTCATGACCCCCACCTACGTGGGTGCCGTTGTAGACGCCCACTTGCACCAGCTTGCGGTTCTGCAGATTCATGATGCTGTAATTGGCAAACTTCCGGTCCCCGTCCTCGTTGAACTCCACGCGGCCGGTCACGCCGTCTGCGTACTTGGAAGACATGAGCACTCTGGAGGGGGGCAGTGTGGGTTAGAATGATCAGGGATGCAGTTAGCCCTGCCCACTGTGAGTCAGGTGGACAGCACAGCTACGTCTGCCGAGCAACTCCTGGCCTCTAGACCCTGCTTCGAGGGCTTTCTGTGGGTTGGGATGTCCGATTCTCATGGCAGCTGTCCTAGCTTTACAGATGAGGAGGCAGAAGCCCAGGCAGGAGCAGCGGGCTGCTCACCAGCCAGTGGGGAGGAAGGGCTTGGGTCTTGTCTTCCTGAGTGTGCACACCTGTGGGGGGGGGGGGGGGGGGTGTATGTGTGCACACAAGATCTTTGTGTGGGATGCAACCCTGTGCGTGTACTTGTGGCACATGTGTGATGTGCCATGTGCCTCTCTGAACCTGTCTGTGCACACACGCATGTGCACGTGTGCACATATGCTGCCTGTATCTGCAGTTGTGTGTGTGCTCCTGTCGTGGGCCCCATGGACCATGGCTCTGCACATGCTACTTGTGGGTGGCGGTGTTGGTGTTGGGCTGGGCCTCCCCACACTAGTGCCATGGTGTCCAGGGTTCTCTGAGTTAACTCCTGCCCTGCTGTGTCCATCCACTTGGGTCTCCGGCCAACCCCGGCTCTCTACAGGCTTGGGTGCCATGCCTGGATTCCTTGTCTGACCTCCTGGGCCCGTGGGCTCTCCCGGGCCCGACCTGAAGCAAAACCCTCCTCCCCAGGGCTGTTAGCCGTCCTGGGGTGTGGGGTGGGGCCTCAGGGTGGGCAGCAGTGTGAAAAGGTGGGGGCAGGAGAAACGGAAGCAGCGGACTTCAGTGACATCCGAGCGCTGGAAATGGGGCAGGTGATTATCGTGGTGGAGATGGAGGTGAGGGTGAGTTGGGGGGGGGCGGAGAGAGGAGAAAACTGGGGAAAGTGGCGGTATCTATAGGATACAGCAGGCTGGGCTGGACCACCCTGGGAAGAGCGACTGTTCCCAGCGCCGGAACGGTGGCCCGCCCACTTTAGGAGATCAGCCCGCTCCCCTAGGACGAGGGGCCCCGCCCACCTCAGACGAGCGGCCCCGCCCACCTCTTGAAGAGCGGCCCCGCCCACCTCTTGAAGAGCGGCCCCGCCCACCTCTTGAAGAGCGGCCCCGCCCACCTCTTGAAGAGCGGCCCCGCCCACCTCTTGAAGAGCGGCCCCGCCCACCTCTTGAAGCGCGGCCCCGCCCACCTCTTGAAGAGCGGCCCCGCCCACCTCTTGAAGCGCGGCCCCGCCCACCTCTTGAAGAGCGGCCCCGTCTTCCAGATGTTGGTGTTGCCCACGCAGCCCCGCGGCGGATCGGTGATGTTCTCCTTCTCGAGAAGCTCGTGCACGGCCTGGGCCACCACCCCCACGGCGTCGCTGATGTGGGCCGACTCGTTCTTGCCGTTGATGAGCTGCAGCCCGATGATGCCTGGGGCAAGCGCTGGCTTAGAGCCCGTGGGGGACCCCTGCCCACCGGGACCCTGCAGCCCAGCACTCACCGTCCGGGGCGTAGCGCAGGGCGTTCCCCGAGATCTCACGCTCCCCCACCAGCCACACGTACCCCGAGCCGGTCATGTTCAGCATCGCGGCTGCGCGGTACACGGTGGCAGCGTCGTCCTCGCTGTGGGGCAGAGCGGGTGAGGGGCGGGGATTCCAGCCCTCCCCACCCGCGGCCGGCGGCGGCTGCTCCACACTCCCAGGGTCTCCTCCGCAGCGTGGCCTACCCACGTGGCCTCTTCCCCAACCCTGCCCGCCCCAAGGGAGGTCTGGAGACGCTGCAGAGATGGGGTGCGGCCGCCACCCCAAGCCTACACCGCACCTGGGCCAGGAGACCCCCACGGAAGCGAGCGGGTGGGCCCAGACCCCCTGAGCTTCCCAGACAGCTCTTGCTGGCCCGCTGCCCTTGGTGGGCAGGGTTTGGGTGACATGGGATGACGATGGATCCTTACTGGTCGATAACTCGCTCACCAGGTACCAGGCACTATTCTGAATGCTTTTCATGGAGCATCTTATTTAATTCTCACAACCTCCCTGTGAGACGGGCAGAAGTATACCCCTGTGTCAGGAGGGGAAACTGTGGCACCAGGGCACACCAGTGACAAGTGACAGAGGCGGGTCTGTGCCTGGACTCCTGAGCCCAGGACTCCTGCAATTCCCTGGATAAGCCACACCCCTCTGGTGCTGCATGCCTAAACTTGTGAACTGAGGGGCTGGGGACTTTCTGGTTGGTCAGATGCTTCTGCAACCGAGAGCCAGGGAGCTGCCCTGAGCATCACAGCAGAAGCCACCGGAGAGAGATGAGGGCACCTGCTCTCCCTTTTGGAGTCTGCCCAAGCAGCTGTGTTCTCTCTGCCACCCAGTGCTGGGGCCACTGGCAGGACACAGCACAGGCCTCGCCTTGCAGGCACACGTGGTCCTGAGTTTTTGGCGTGTCCTTACAACTGAGCCTCTGTGGACCTGGTCTCCTAGGGCTGGGCTCTCTCTGGTCAGGGCAAGGACCCTGGGCCTGGTGGAGCTCCCACCTTCTGTCCCCTGTTGGGCCGAAATTGCTCCCAGATGGGCCTGGACCACAACAGGCACTTTGCTTCTCGAATGCATGGGCATCGGGGTACAAAGAGGCTGGGGAGATTGTCCGAGTGCTGGGTTATTTTCCCAATGGCTGAGCCTGGAAGCTAAGGTGGCCCTAGGTTCCCTAAGGGGTCTGTCCCCAATTTTCTCAAGGAAGAAATGCAAATCTTCAGCGTTTGCTCTAAATGAGAACGCTGCTGTTGGATGAAAACAACACAAAATAGAGGCGCTCCAGGCAACATCCAGCCCAAATCGCCAGCAACACCAATTCGTGCGTGTCAGGGCACGGTGTGCCCCTGTCAGTTGTGCCCACAGAGCCTGGCGGAGAGGCCTGTCTGCTTGACACCATCCAGGTCTGTGACGTTGGACTTGGTGGGATGAGCACACACCTATGCTTGTGTCCGTGTAAACTGATATCTTCAGTAAAGCAGTTGCAGACAAAAGCCTGATCGACCCGCCAAGCTGTTTTATGGAAATAACTGATCCCAGTAAAGATAACTTCCGGAGGATTATTTAAAAAGCAAAAGTTTTGGAAATAAATTAGAAACTCCGAAGCACTCTGTAGAAAACTGGTCAAAAATTAAGATTGGCTTAATGGGATCTCTCCACAAAACGCTCTCAACAGCCCTCGTGAGGGGAGCCAGAATGTGTCAGGCTGGGGGGCCAGGGTGAAGGCGTCTGCCCTGCACAGGGGACCGCCGGCTTCCCCGGGCTCTGGGAGCTGGGCGCGCTGGGCAGGCGGGTCCCCCCTGTGGTGGGACTCTGGCCTCTCTTGTCCGAGGAGCCCCGGGTGTGAGGGGAGGGGTCTCTTCCCGCCTGACAATCCAGAGGCCTTGCGTGGATTCAAGAGGTGGGCATGTGGTTGACAAGTGCTGTGCCTTTGTGAACAGTAAGTATTGCTACATGTGTGGGGTTTGTGCATGTATGTAGTATGTGGTGTGTATGTGGCGTATGCACCTATGCACGAGAGCACTGTGCCCTGTGTGTGTCGGTGCAGAGCATGTACATGTGTGGTGTGTCTGCACATGTATCTAGGTGAGCATATGTCTGTGTGTGTTACATGTACGCATATGAATGTCCTGTGTGCACGTGTGTGTGGTGTGTATATGGCACATGCATGTGTACAGGAGGGCGTGGAAGCATGTTGTGTGCACATGTGTGTGTACGGCACGTGCACGTGTAGACAGTATGCGGGTGATGCGTGTTCGTGTGTATGCGTGTGAGTGCCTGTGCTGGTGTGCGTGAGCGGAGGGCGGTGGGCGTTAGTGCCCGCTAACTGCCTTCCAGCCCGAGGAGCCCTCGCTGGTCCCATCCTGCCCTCTGCCCAAGGACGGGGTGCACCTGGCTCTGTGCCAAAGGTTTGTTGCCTGAATGTGCAAACGGACACCTGCCCTGCTACTCAGGGTATCGTTGGCTCCCGCTGGCCGGCTGCAGGGTGACCCCTGCTGTTTTTCTCCACTCTGCTGGAGACTGCAGAGCTTCTGGGACAGGCAGACAGTGGGGCGGGTCTCCCCAGGCTCTCCCATGTATGTCCCATGAGGCAGGGCTCTTCCTTTTCCTATTCCTGGTGGCCTGGCCTTTCCCTTCCCTGGAGGACACAGCCATTTGCAAAAAGGGAGATTTTTACTGGGGGCTCAGCCCCAAGGTTACGGTGGGGACCAGGCCCGTCCAGCAGCAGCCTGGTTTGGCTTCCCCCTACGCGGTTCCCCTCTCGTGCTGCCTAGTCCGACTGCCCCACCCCTTCAGCCCTGGGACTCCGGCCCTGTCCCTGCTATGGGCCTCCCCCCGCAGGCTCACACGCAGACCCCATGTCACTGCCCCAGGCCCCCTCGCTGCCCCAGCTCCCAGAGCCCCGTGTCCCCCCGTCTATCACCTGGGCCGCGTTTGCCTTCCTAAGGGCAGGGCCTTATCCCGCCCCCATCCCCGAGGCCCAGGGTACACGTGCGAGGGGACCGTCCTTGGCAAGGACGCCAAAGCCCAAGTCCAGCCTGGCCGCACCTGGCGGAGAGGACGATGACCCGAGCCTCCAGCTCCCGCGCCTCCATCAGCAGGGCCGTCACGTTCTTGGTCCCCGGGTCGAACTGCAGCACCTTCTCGGCCTGCGGTGTGAGCGGGTGCGTTAGCGGGTGGCCGGGGTGGGGGATGCAGCGCCTCAGGGGCCAGAGTCGAGCCGCAGCCACTAGGAACCCCGAGGCAGCTCCGCTAGGGCCGCCTCGGCCTGCACCGGCCACCTGCACTGCCACCTGCCTTCCAGGCTCCTCGGCCGGCCGGCCGGGCTGGCCTCGCTCGTCCTTTCTTCAGCCTGCTGGCTCTCCTGTGCTCGCTCTCTGCTCTGCGCGTCTCTCTCCACCTCTCACTCCTGGCCTCACTTTTGCACTGAGCATGCAAGCTGGAGTGGACCGAGACTCAGGAAGAGGCGTGCAGCGGACAGGAAACAGAAAGGAGTTTTGGAACGCAATCGGGAGCGGAGACTGGGCCGCCTTTTCCAAAACCACGGGAGGTCGTCCGGGGCCTGGTCCACAGGCCCCACAGGAGCAGCCCGGACCACAGGCAGGTCAGGCGGGCAGGCGGGCTCCCTCCTGGGCTCCACGAGGAAACCCTGGGGTGCCCGGAGATTCGCATGCACCTCCCAGAGAGCAGCTCCTCCTGCAGCCGTGCCTGCCCCTTGGCCCGGCCGGCGGGCTGCGGGGCCCTGGGCGGCCGGCACCTGCCCTCTCCTGCCTACGCTGCCTGCTCTCGACCTCGCTCTCCTCATTGCTTGGGCCTGCGGCATGGCGCGGCTGGGCCCACGGTAGCCCTAGCGGCCGAGGCGCCGGAGGCCGGGGCTCCCAGTCGGTGGGTGGCGTGCACGTCCATGCATATATACCTTGGGTCCGCGCTTGTTGTCATAGGACAGTTGGTCGAGGTTTTCATAGTTCCTTTTTTTACTCTGATGAATAATGTGCACAGAGAAAATATGCAGACACAGAAGAAGATTATAAACGGTTGAAAATGACGGCGCTAAAGCCACCACACCACCTCCTCGGCACGCCCGCGGGGGCGCGTACCTGGAGCTCGCAAACACCTAGGCCCGGGGTGGGGCTGGGGGCCGGGGAGGGGCTGAGGACTGAGGGGCCGCGGGGGCCTCCGAGGCTCCCTGCCACGGAGCTGCGCTCTTGGAATCGCTCACGTTCGGGAGAGAGGGAGGCCCTGTCTGTGTCCAAGCCAAATGCGTCCCTTTGGGGTCCCCTCCGCCCGCCCCCCGCCGGGCACCTGCTACGTGGTGCCAGCAGCGCCCACCCCAGCCCCGTCAGTCCTGAATGGGTGATGTCCCCTCCCCCAGCCCCGGCCCCTACTCCCCACCCCTCCCAGCGCCCCCTTCTGCCTCTCTTAGAGGTCCAGCTGCTCTGCCCTCACTGACTGGTGTGTGATGGGCGCGCCTGTCAGTCCACGTGTGCACTGGAGAGCAGCTGTGACAGGAGTTCGTGAGCACGTGTGCGTCTGTGGGCGTCTGCGTGGCAGCATCAGCCTACATTAGTCCGTGGCGAGTGGGAGTGAGGGCCAGTGCCGTCTGAGCACACGTGCGTGCGCGTGTGCGTGCACGAGCCCCCGGGCCGTGGAGGTGTGGAGGGTGCCTGCGAGCCTGTGGCAGGCGTAGGAGAGTGTGAGTGGATTGTCTCGGGAAAGGCCGCGTGTGCCTGTGAGAGGGAACACGTGTGGCTGGGCCTGCGGGGGGTGCGTGAGTGTGCACTGGGCCTGCGTGCAGCCACAGGTGGGCACGCCAGGAGCTGACCTGCTTGCCTGGTGCTGGATGCTGTCTCGGGAGGGTGGGGCCCTGCGGTCCTGGTAGCCAGCCCTCCCTCCCAGACTCATCCAGTCCCCCCCAGCAGGACCCCAGGACCCTCTGGGTCTGTCCTCTGGTTCACCCCCAACTGGTGCCCTCTCTTCCCTTCGGGGCCTATGGCACCCTGGGGGACCCGGGTTGGCACTCAGCTTACTGAAGCCAACTCTGACTTTGCAGACAGCACATGCTCCCCGCCGCCCCTTGGTCTGGCTTCCCGGGGCCCTCCCCAGCCTGGGCGTCCCTCCCTCTCTGCCCAGCTTGGCCTCCACCCAACCCCGGGGGGCCTTGGCCCAGGTGCTGAGCGCCCAGGGCTCCAGGCTGGGTGAAGGCGGGACCCCGGGCCTCCTCTGGTGAGCACCAGCTTCTCCTCAGGCTGGCAGTGGGGATGGGTGGGGTGGGGGTCGCCTGGACCCCCAGAAACGCCACTCCGGCCTCTCCACAGCCCACACGTGGGCGCCGGGCTGGGGTAGAACGGGCAGTTGGAGCCAGGTGTCTACTGGATCCCCAGGAGTCCAGAGCCCCAGTCCCCACGGTGGGGAGGTGAGCAGAGGAAGGGCGCGGGGTTCCGTGGGGAGAGCGGGGGGCGGGGGACGAAGAGGGGCAGGGCCCAGACTGGGCTTGGGGGTGGCAGATGTCCACGGGTGGGGCTTTGGGGAGGGTGATGGGCAGCTGTGAGGTGAGGGGCTGCGGCGGGGGTGAGGCCGGCACGAGGACAGGGCACGGGTCACAGCAGAGAAGGAACCAGGTCCTTTGTGGAGGGGACACGGTGAGTGGCGCCACCGCACTGAGGGGTCACCCTAGGGGAGGCCGCTGGGAGGGAGCGGTGTGGGGGGCAGAGGCGGCGCCCCTAGGGAATTTTGAGCCTAGGGCCTGTGTGGGCTGGGAAGCGCGCTGCGGGGAGGCGGGGGAGGGGACGGGGGAGGGGAGCGGGGGCGGGGCGGGGTGTTTGCGGAGCTCCAGGTGGTCCTGCCCTCGCCCCGCAGGGACTGACACGAAGGAGATTTCGACTAATGGCAAAAGCGAGTGAAATGAGCCGAGGACAGGCTGGGGCGGGCGCTCGCCAGACGCAGTGGTGCTGACCATGCACGATGGAAAGAGAAGGGTGTTCACACGGGCCACAGACACAGCGGCGGCTCGCCGGCTCCGACTCCTGCTCGGGACACCCCGGCGCGGGCCTCACCTTGGACTCGCGCTCCTCCAGCAGTGTCTCCAGGCGCTTCTGCGCCGCCCGGCCCTCGTGGTCGTCGCTGACCAGGAGGATGATGTGGTTCCAGCTGTAGACGCGCATCATCTCGAACCAGACGCTCGACTGGTGGGAGTAGGGCGGCACGGTGCGCAGGAAGCTCAGGTGGATGCTCTGCGGGGCACGGGGTGGCTGAGGACGCGGGCCAGGGCGCGCAGGCGCGCGGGGGCCAGACGCTCCCCCTCGCTGCTTCCAGACCCCGGAGCCTGGGGACCCCGCTTCCCTCACTCCTCCCTCCCCACCGCTGGCTTCTCTCCCCACCCACATCATCTAATCTGAGAACCGGAGGCTCGGTTTGCCCAGCAGCACCCTGACTGAGACGGGTGGGGGGGCGGCCTGTGGAATTGTTCCTGGGGTCGTTCCCCTCCTCCCCTGCAGCCACCCGCTGCTGAGCTACTTGAGATCAGAAACTTCTTGCTGGCGTGCAGCATCTCAAAGATCCCCCCTGGGTCCTTCCCAAATTCACATAACTGGTATTTAGAGCAAGTCTTCACTCTTGGGGTGAAATACCTCATCCCTTCACCAAGCCCAGGGGTTGCTGCTTGCTGACCCCGCCTTGCTTCTCTGAGTGCACTGGCTGCCAGGGAGGGGACGGAGCAGGACCCTCCCGCCTCAGCATAGGGCCTTTGAGTCTGCCCAGGGAGCAGTGTTCCTGGGGACCCACACTGATCCTGGGGTCCTCTGAGCCCTCCAGATCCTTCTTTCACCTGCTCCCTCTTTGTGCCTTGGAATCAGGGTGCAAGAATGCCCCTTTGCCTCTGTCTGTCATCCAGCAGGTGACATGGTTGCAAGGGGGCTGTGGTTGGGGTCCTGGACTGGCTCTGACCCAGGCCCTTCTGGTCCACGTGTTGGGCACAGATGGTCTGTGGGTTGTACCAGGAGTGGGATCAAGGTGGAGCTCTAATATTTGGTGGCAGGTTTGCCCTCATGCTGGGCCTCAGTCTGGATCTGGGGCGGGGGCACGTGATGGGCTGGTGTCCTGTCCTGGGAGAGGGCTCCCCGCACCCCGGCCTCTCCTGTGCCCCACCGCCTGCTCTCCTCTGTAGAGGCCTTGTTCTCCCATTTGCGTGTGAGGGGCCTGGTGCCCAGAGAGGTGAAGGAGGCTGGAAGGCCTAGGGGGAGCCCTCCACTTCTCACAGCTGAGGGTTAAGTGCCTCTGAGCAGCTTGGGTGCCTCTGCTGTGTGCTGGGGTTTCCAGAGCCTCAGGAACGGGTGGCCGTCCTGGCCTCCACTGGCCTCCTCCCCTGTGGGCCGTCCCAGAGGACCCCTCACTCTGGCCTCGCTTTCCTATCGCCTCCAGGAGGACCCCTCCCTGACCTCCCCAGACACCCTGGGCCCGGCTGAGATGACCTCCGTGCCTTAGGCAGCGTTATCCAGGACCCGGGGCTCCGGGCAGGATGGATTTGGAGATGGGGAGAGCTGGGAAGCCCCCAACAGCCCAGCCCTCTGGCCCCTCAGCTAAGGCACCAAGCTGGAGTCCCCTGCCGAGCAGCCCCTCCGGGCCTGTCTGCGGGTAACACCAGGCCTGGAGGGAGATGTAGAGGAGGCTGCCCCCCCACAGCCTCTCGGTGGCCAGTTTGCCCCCCCAGCTGACCAGCCCTCCCAGAGCCGTGGGCAGACACTGCGGAAGGGCTGGGCAAACTAGTGCAAGGTGCCGGCTGCTATGGGGGTGAGTTTCCTGCCAAACCGACTTGGTGACCTCTAGACTCCCAGCTGCTGCTCCACGACTGGGCGACTCCAGCCAGACCCCCAGCCCATGGGCCACGATACAGCCCCGAGGCCCGAAACCCCCAGGCCAGCCCCCCCAGCCACGAGCTGCCTCCTCTGTTCACCTGGAACCCTCTTCCAGCTGTGCCCTCTAGCGGGAGGTGCCGGTAACTACACCCTCACTGCCACCTGGTGTCCCAGCCACTTCTAGGCTTTTCCTCCTCCTGGCGCCCCTTCCTCCAAAGTGCCCCGTCCCGCTGTCCAGGAAGCTGCCCTGTCTGTCCCTTCTTCTGGCCCACGACGGCCTCTGCTGCTTCCCAGGGCTTGCTATTGGCGCCTGTCACCTGTCAGTGGGCCGTGTGCCCGAGTGTGCGTGGGCATGTGTCAGCGTGTGAGTGTGGGCCTGTCTGAGTGTATGATGGAGCGTGAGTGTGGGGGAGTGAACACGTTAGTTATGTGAGTGTGCACATGAGCATGAATGTTTGAGTGGGTGATGGTGTGAGCATGCGTGTGAACGTCAGTGTGTGCGTAAGAGCCCGTGAGTGTCCCTGTGAATGTGTGTGACTGTGTGTGTGTAGGTGTGAGTGTATGGATTTATTAGTATCTGTGAGTCTGTGTGACTGTGAGTTTGTGTGCTGTGAGTGTGTACTGGTGTGCCTGTGTGTGGGTGAGTTTGCGTGTCTCTGGGAGACTGTGAGTGTGTACCGGTGTGAGTTGTGAGCATGCCTCAGTGTATCACCCTGTTGCACCTGGAGCCCAGAGCCCATGGTTTGAGCCCCTCTGCCTGTGCCCCCCATCCTGGCAAAGCACCTGTCCCCCACTCTCTCCCCCAGCAGCTGCTGGCGGCTCCGGGCTGCAGGAGCGAGCCACCGGGTCTGAACACGGGAGCAGAGCTGGCTGGGTCCCCGTCCAGCGGTCAGGCTTACCTTGTCTGAGTAGATGGACATGCGGGTGGTCAGCCCCAGGACGGGGATGCGGTAGAAGCCAGCTGTGTAGGAGACGGGGGTGGGAGTGAAGTGGTCGTTGGGGGTAGGTGGGTGGCTAACTAGGATGGCGTAGACCTGTGGACACAGGGGACAGGGTCAGCTCGAGTGGGGAGCGGGGGACACTGCCCTGGAGCTGGCTGTCCAGCAGCAGCAGAGGCTGAACACAGAAGCGGGGGGCGGGTAGTGGCGGGGGGACACCACCTGTGCTCACACAGCCCCAGGAGTGCTGGCCACCCAGCAGCGGGGACCAGACCCCAGTCCCACCTTCTGAGTGTGAGTGAATCATAGGGGTGAGGCAGAGGCAGACAAGACTCCTGGGACCAAGGAGACACACAGGGAGTTGACAGACCCCTCCCCCCACCCTTGTCCAGGGCCTCCTCTCTCGCCCCTCACCCTGGGGGGCTGCCCTGAGCTGTGTGGTAAGACCCTGGGAGGGAGGATGAAGGCCAGTCCTTGGCATGTCCTGGGACCGCACATGCCGCCCCAGCGTGGGCTGGGGAGAACCACACCAAGCCCCACCCTGACCCTCATCCTGGGTCAGAGGTGGACGGAGGCCAGCACTCCAGAGATGGAGGGCCGCTCCGGAAGGTGCGTCGAACATCGCAGACTATTAATGGGAGAAGCTGGGCAAGGAGCCGCCTAGAAGCCCGGGCCCCCCTGCTGGTGTCTTCCAGGGGCAGGCTGAGCCCCGCTCGGTTTGAACAAGACCCAGTGCTGACTTGGGCACTGACCACATCCTCAAGGAAACCTGGCCTTCCTGCCTGGACCAGTGGCTCAGCCCCCGAGGCAGGGAGACGGGGCAGATGGCTTGGCAGCTCCGTGCTGCCCTCACATTAGAAGCACCTTCAGTCCCAGTTCTGCCTTCCCATCTCTGAGCTACAGGACCACCTGCTTTTGCAAACGGGGCGGGGGGGCGCTGGCTCATGTGGTGGGGGCAGTGGCTGCCTTGCCGGCACCTGGCTCACAGCGTGTGACAGTGAGTGACAGCTGCTGTTGTCACCTTTGCTCCTGGCACTGGCTATTCCCTGGGAGAACAGTGCCCACAGACAGCAAAGCTGTAAGTTGGATGAGGGATCCCCAGAAAAGGCCATACTTGTTCTCACTCCTTTGCCCCACACAGTCTGCACCCAGAGGGGCCTGGTCAGTGTTTGCCTGAGCGTGTGTGGGCATGCGTGTGACCATGCAGGTGCTCACAAGTGTGCGCTGGGTATGTGTGTGTATACTGCATGCCCCAACATATCTGTATGTGTATGTGCATGTGTATGTATGATTGAGCTTGTGTGAGCACGCGTGTTTGCATGTGTGGCACAGGAATGTGTGTGCTCATGGATATGCATGGGGGGTCGGCCTGTGTGTGAATGAGCGTGTGCAATTGACTGTGCAATTCTGATGTGCATGAAGGGGTGCTAGTTTAAGTCTATGCATCTCTGTGCACAAACATGGATGAATGTGTGTGCACATGTGAGCGTGTGTGTCCATGGATGTGGCGTGCCTGTCAGGTGAGTGTGTAAACAGCACTTGGACCGGTGTCGGTCCCGCCTGTTACATAAAAGGCTGCATTGCAGTGATCCCGAGGCCTCATTGGGATTCAGCAGGCAGCGCAGCCCGGGGGAGGGCGGACAGCTCTGACAGGCAAAATCCTTGAGTCGTGTCCTCCCCCACAGCGCTGGCTGCCAGTGGCTGCCACGCTCTGCCCTGATACCTGTCCCTGTTCCCACCCTGGAAATCACCCTGCGTCAACACCTGGGCCATTTCCCATCTCAGGCAGACCTGTGGCTGGAGGAAGGGGAGGGAGGAAGGGAAGGAGATCTCCAAGCAGGAACAAAGATGGCCCCAGGTCCCATCCAGTTTAAAGCCCTGCAGTCCTGCATGTGGCTGGGACAGACACCTCTCAGACAGGCCCGGAATGCCCGCCCCGACCCTGACACACAGTGACCAAACAAACGGCCACATGTCTGCACACACCAGTCTGGACCTCGAGACCTGGAAACCCTGTGAGGACAAGCCCCCCTGGCAGGTGATTGATCTGGGGCTAAGATGGGGAACCGGCCAACACTGGTGTTTAGCTGCTAGTGAGACCAGCCCCCTGGGTCCTCTCTCAAGGGGAGGGAGAGGGCTAGGAAAGGATGGAATGAAACTGGGACAGGGGGAGGGATGGCGGGTGGAGGAGGGAGGATGGTGGGGAGGCAGTGGGGGAGGGGCAGGAGCTGGCGCAGCGTGAGCCCTGGGGGTGCTGGCACCTGGCTGGAGATGAGGTCCTCGCACACCGACAAGGCCATCTGGATGGCGTTGGGCTTGTGGGTGACGGAGGTAGCGTTGAGCTGGATCTTCCAGGAGCCATGCCGCTTGTTGGCCTGGTTCACAGCCTCGCGGAACATCTGCTCGTGCTTCCTCGTGCTCAGCACCGCGCCGATGTTGACGATCTTGGGGTCGCAGGCGGCACGGGCGAAGGAGCAGGAGAAAAGCAGGGCGAGTGTCAGCAGGCGCATGGTGCTCATGGGCTCCGGGCGGCGCCCTGGCTCTGGGCAGCGCGAACGCGGGGCCCTCGGCGCATCCCCAGAGGGACGCCCCGGCCGTCCTGCGCGCGCCCGATCCCGCGGGCTGAGGGCGCCACGTCTTCCCCGGGAGCCTTAGTCCTGGGACGTCTGCACCGAGCAGGTGGCACCGAGCCTTCGGCCGGCCGGGCGGTCACGGGTGCGCGTGGGTGCCGGGCGCTCTGTTCTAGGCGGCTGGCGCTGTCCGCGGTGCTGAAGCGGGTCTCGGCGCCGCTCCGGGTGCCCCGCGCCGAAAGGACCCGCCGCCGGCAGCTCCTCTGCGGTCTTCGCTTGTCTCGGTCCCGACGCTGCGGCGGCTGCGGCGACTGCGGAGCGCCGAGCGGGACCAACGTCTCCTACCCCTCCCGCCGCCCCCGCTTCCCAACACGGAGCCGGAGCGGGGGCGCCTCCCGCGCCAGAGTGTGCGCCTGCGTTCGTGCCAGCATTTTTCAGAGCGCGCGCGAGCGGGGGACGCCTGTGTGCGCGTGTGTGAGCGCGTGTGTGCAGGGGTCGCTGAGACAGTGACCTGGGCTGTCTCGAACCTGCAGGGAGCCGAGTTTGGAGAGGTTAGAGGGGTTCGCCTCACTGCGTGCAGCCTTGCGTGTCCTTTAACATGACCGAATGTGTCGTGCCAGTTTGTGTGTGTGCGCACACGCGCGTGCACGAGTCCTCACCCACAGTCAGTGACACTTCGGGGCCTGACTCTGCCGGCTGGAAACCAAGGCGTGTGGAGAGGCCCTAAACCGTGCCTCTGGGAGAGGGGCGGTGGCGACCTCTTCTCCAGAAGGGCTCAAAAATGGGGGAGAGACGTCATCTGTCTGGCCATGTGACTTGGACTCCCCCAGAGGGTTAAAAAGAATAGAAGGGGTGACAGTGGCCGCCCCTTGTTGAGCTGGATCTTCCAGGAGAGTCCGAGGGTCTGAACCAAACCAGCTGTGGAGAGACCACGGCCAGAGGGAGTCGTCTCTGCAGCAGATGGGACTAAGGTTAGACATCAGGAAGCGGTTGCTGATGCCGGGCTAGACATCGCATACATCTGCCCCGTTTCCACACTCCTCCCCTTGGCAGCCCCTCTCCTAACTCACTCCCAGCACCCCCTCCTGCCCCTTTCCAGAAGCTCCCTGTCCTCTGGTGCTTGTGATCCCAATTCTTTGTCCTCACCGTCCCCCCCACCCAGTGTGCTTCCTTCTCCCTAATTCAAAGGATGGCTGAAGCTCCGCCTGCTGCCAGTGACATCACCGTTTCCAATGGCAACTGAGGATTCTGCAGACCCAACAGCAAAAGCCCCCAATGGGGACAAAGCAGGGTCGTCCCCACACCTAAGTGATGTCCGAAGCAGTGGAGAGGGGAGGAGCCATGTCCCTCCCAACAGGGTCACACCCCCTTCAGCTCTCACCACTAGGCTTACCTCCCTACACCCAGCCCAAAGCAGACCCCGCGGGACTCCCTTGCTCTGAGGCAGGGGCTGCAGTGCCTGGCCTGCTCCCTTTCCTGTCCCCTTCTCTCCCGATGCAAGAAAATCGTTGCTTGGAGGTGAGTCTGCCTGCATCCGGCTGCAGCCCCACAACTCTCTCTGTTGTGGGATTGAGGTCTATAGTGGAAGGAACACCAGCCCTGGGGACACAACTCCTCCTGTGGAGTCTCAGGAGGGCATGTGGGGTGTGCTCAGGGGCCCAGAGTGGGCCCTGTCTCCACAGGGTCGGCAGTCTCCAGTAGCTCAGAGCTTGGAGGCTGCCTGCGTGCCCGGGAATGGGCAGCCACCAGCTGCCGGCTCTGGTGTGGCCCAGACAGCTCCAGGACATTGCGGGGAGGGAGGGATTCAGCAGGGGGCTGCCGCCAGAGCTTCAGGCCACTTCCATCCACCCCAATCCCCCAGTCGGGGGTGCTGGAGAAGCTCCTACTGGTCCTGGAACAAGAACTTGTAAATAGCCAGAAACCTGAGGGCTGGCTGTTACACAGCTGGGAGCTTGAACTTGGTCACGGTCGGCGTACTTATACCACGGAAATTGCCAAGCCCTGCAAACCAGGCCTCTTTTTTCCCTTTAGAGGCCAGTTTACCGGCACACCACCGCCTCCCCCAGGCTGGAGGTGCTCAAGCTTCTGTCCTGAGGCCCTTGCGTGTCCCAGGCCTCAGCCCCTCCCGTGCTTGAATCTCTCCTGGGCTCTGTACTCCCTTTCACCTTGTAGGCTTCCTCCACGCCCCCAGCAAGGGCGGTGCGGTTGCAGAAGGACTCGACCTTGCTTTGTCTTGCTGTGAAAGAGATGCTGTGGGTCGCGGGTCCTGCGCTGAGGTTCTTGAAACCTTATTAAGAACGTTTGGATCCCCGTGAAGCCCTAACCCAAGAATACCAGGAGATTTGGGTAGGAACGGGGGTGATGGGCTTCATCGTTTATAAAATCAGGAGTGCCGATCAAAGAAGTAAAGCCTTGAAAGCTTCCAGTCCTGCACCTTCTCATGGTCATCATTAACCAGATGGGCCATCAGTCTGGCTGTGTTGTGGGAACGTGGGACGTCGTGTTGACTTGCAGCAGTGAATAAATGCATGCATGAATAAACGTACCTGTGAGACACACACACACACACACAAAGATACCGCCGGGACTTGGACCCCTCTGAATCTTGGTGTATCACCCTCTGTGGTGAGGACCAAGGAGACCTGGGTTGCTGCGTCTGGCCTCGGTGGGCGCGAGGCCCTGTCTGCCCCATGGGGAGGGGACTGTTTCACCTCCTCCCCGACTCCAACCCAGGGGCTCTAGCAAGGGCTGTCAATCATAGATACAGCCCCTCCTTGGCCTTGGTCTATTGGCCGAGAGGTAGTCACATGACCCAAGCAGACCACTCAGGGTTTTTCCCTAAGATTTTGGCTAGATCAGAAACTGTGACAAGAAGCCATCTCTGCATCTTTTCTGGAGGTGAATCTCTGAGAATTGAGCCACCTGTAGACACATTTCTCTCAGGAGGAAGCTGACAGGCAGGTAGGAGCCACTATGCAAGCTCTCTGTGCAGACACCTTGCCTGTGGCCGGCCAAGTGGGCAGAGGATGGGCCTTTGCCTGGTGCCCACCCACTGCAAGGGCCTGCCTCCAGACCAGGACTGGGGAGATGGGGCTGCCTGTCAGAAGGCCTGGCCACCAGGACTCTATCCTTGATCTGGGGGAGCCCAAGGACCCTCACAGACCACAGCTGCAGACACCTGTGGTGCCGTCTTGCTTGCCCTCAAATTGATTTGCACTCGCACACCTTCATCCACATGGTTCTACCACCTGCCTCCCCGCACGAGCCCTCCTCTCCCTGTCCCCACACTCTCTGACTTTCCAAACCCCATCTTTCCTGGAAGCCCATCTTCCCAACATCACAAACTCCCCACAGATCCCACCATATGCAAGGCTGGACTTTGACATTTCATTCACTCATAGACATTTACCGAGCTCCCGCTGTGTGGCAGGCACTCCTCTAAGTTATTGGGGTACAGCAGTGGAAAAGTTAGATCCCCGACTGAACACGGGGAAGACAAATAAGCACCTTAGACCATTTCATGCCGCGTTATGTACCCCAAGGAAAAGGAAAGCAGAATACGAGGATAGAGCTTGATGGGACCGTGTGGTGGTTTCAACATGTCTGCAGTTTCTTTGACATGCATCCCTTCAAAGGGGAGCCCAGTTCCTCCCTCCTTGGATGTGGGTGGACCGAATGACTCTTCCACTGAGTGGAACGTGGCGGAAGTGGCAGCGTGTGACTTCTGAGGTGATGTCTAGAAGGAACAGCTTCCCTCTGGCACTGTCCTTCCCAAGTCACCTGCTCTGGGGGAGGCCAGTGTGGAGAGGAACTCTTTGTCAATGGCCCCCTGCCAGTGGCCAGCATCAACTTGCCAGCTATGGGAGTGAACCACCTTGGAAACTCCAGGGGCCCTCCGGCCCCCTTCGAGCCTTCAAGGGATGACAGCCCTGGCTGATGTCTTGACTGTCACCTCATGAGAGACCCCAAGCCTGAGCCACCCTGTCAAGCTGCTCCAAACTCCTGACGGTGGAAACTGTGTGAGATAATGAATGTTTATGGCTGTGTGAATCAATAGATGACTAAGTAATCAATTCAGGTTGCTTTTTTTCTGAATGAAATGAGAGAGTAAGCCATGCAAATATCTGAGGAAAGGGTGTTCCAGGGAGGGGGGTGCAAGGGCATGGAGCAGAGGGAGGGAGGGGGAGACAGGAAGGAGGCCAGAGGGGTCGTGGGCCAGGTCCTGTGGGACGGCGCTGGCTGTGTAGAGGGCCCCAGCTTTATTCTAATGAGATTGGAGGGATTAGACCAGGAGAGTGACACTGTTCAACTGACCTTTTAGAAAGGACCACCCAACTGCTATGTGGGTAACAAGGGAGGAAGGGTGTGACCAGCCAGGGGGTTACTGGGATAATTCGTGTGCCAGGCAGGAGGTGTAGAGGTGACAAGACGTGGGACGAGAAAGTGAGGGGTCACGAATAACCCCAGAGCAACTGAGAGAATGGAAATGTGAGGTCCAGGAGGAATCAAGGAATCAAGACTTTTATTTTCTTATAAAGTTCCCACTAAGCTTTTAATCCTGCAAATTTTGATACGTTGTGTTTTTGTTCAGTTACATATTTTTTCTAATTTTCCTTGTAATTTCTTCTCTGATTTATGGGTTATTTAGAAGGCTGTTGTTTAATTTTCAAATATTTGGAGATTTTCTGCATGTATTTCTGTTATTGATTTTTACTTTAACTTCAATATGGTCAGAGAACGTATATTGTTTGATCTTAAATACACTGAGACTTATTTTATGGTCCATAATATGGTTTTTCTTGGTGAATATTCTATGAGCACTAGAGGAAATTGTGTATTTTTCTGTTTTGGATGTAGTGTTTTAATAAATGTAAATGTTTCTCATTGTGGTTTTTTAAAATTAATTAATTATTTTATATATTTTTGGCTGTGTTGGGTCTTTGTTGCTGCGCGCGTGC